ATGAAACACTAATTGTTACATGTGTCCATACCCTCTGTCACTTCCAAGCTGCTAAAAGGAAGAGGAGTGGGGGAGTCTCACTGTAAAAGAGTTTAAAACCAATAAATGGTTTTACTTCCTTCCTGAGAATCCAGGCAACTCCAGATCTCTGTCAATTTTTCCATTAGTTTATTATCGGTCACTTGATCAGGCAAATTCTATTTCTTTTTAATCTGAATACTGTAGGGAATTAAGAAAATACAAAAGGAAAAATTATCCTATATAAGGAGAACAGAGACAGAAAAATAGCCAAGAAAACGTTGAAGCAAGAAGTGAAAGAATGAATCACGGTGATTTTTTTCTTCTTAATAATGGGTTTAGTCCATGTGTTTACAAGTATATCTCCATCTGTGTACATAATTGTGATCAATTTTAGGCTATTTTACAGAACACTTTTACTACATTATCTAGCATGCGTATAGTTAGTGTTAGAGAGATTCTAACTCTTCACCTAGAGTGATGAAATGTTTGTGTCTACATAAACTTTTTCTGTGAGTAATATAAAAACCTATACCAAACCAACTCTCTCAAACTAGAAGAGATTTTACTGAAATCCTATAATCTTTTAAATTAAATTAAATGAGGATTTTTTTATTTTTTTTTTTAAACTATAGATGGCATAAATTGCCATTGTACAAAGGACACTGCCACCATATCATCCTTCTGGTGTCATACCTGGCTGGCAAAACAATGCAACAGGAAAACCCAGTCAACTCACTAATCTGTTACGTACAGTTGCCAATTTAATAAACATCATGGTAGCAAGATAACAAGAATATATCTAAAGAACCCATTTACTATATTTTATACATTTTAGAGGCACACTCTTAACATTTAAAATGTACTATATTTAAATATGATACATGTTACCTCCCTATTTAGTTTCTACTTCAACATTCAAACAAAGTTATACAGGAGTATGTTCTACAGTACAGGATCTAACTATAAATTACCTGCCACCAACTCTAGGCTGTTGCATATTTCCTCTGAATCTGACCATAACCCTCCTTCTCCTTCTCCCTCCCCACCCCCAGTAAAACATTGAAAACCCACAACTGTTCTTAAGGAAAAAAAGCACTATTTTATATGCATTATCAGCAATAAGGTTCCTCTCTAATTTCCTACTGTTACTGTCAAACATTTTCTCCAGTATAGCAACAGTAAGAATTCTGGCATTAATTGAGTACCAAATCATCCATTACTCTAATCATTGCAAAACGCAGAAATGCTTTGTGCAAAGTTAAATTATACAGTGGTTAAAATGCCTGTGGTCAGCCTAGCTCTCCCACTGGGTGTATGGAGGCTGAATGTCCAAAATGAAATCTTCATAAGAGATTTAGCAACACAACCAAAGTCCTACTCTACTAGCTAGATAAGTCTTTTAAGCTCGTCTCATATCAAACGAATTCAAACATACTAAAAAAATTTCCATTATTGCCTAAGGTCTGTTCTCTTTAAAAAAAAACTGACTATTTTGAATCCAGTTTCCGTAATTCTTCACCATTTTCATAAACAAAAGTACAAATGATACTGCGGTACTTGTAGTCACCTCAAGGTGCAAGAGGGAAAATTATGGTAGTGATACTGTCAGTGTAATTGAAAGTAAATGGCAAGACTATAGCAAACTGAAGGAGAAAATTATCATTTCCTTTCAGCTGAAGGAGAGAGTTACCTTGATCATAAGAGACATTACCTAAAGAACCATAGCAGACTGGAAAATGGGTAAGAGCAGAAAAATACATGCAAGATTCAAGACACATGCAACAATGACATTGACTACTACCTCCCATGAAGAAATCCCCTCCTCCTCTTTCTGCCCCTCACTTGGGATAGCCCAAGTGACCCCTCTCTCTCCTTGCTTTCTTCTTGGCTCAGGCTGGTCACTCAGGTGACCTGGCCAGATAAAATTCCTAGGGGGAGAGGGGAGCACTCTCTCCTTTCTGGTGGGCATTTTGAAAGCTGCAAGCAAGTGCCCCAGGCTCCTGCCTAGTGTTTTTCTGCAAGTAAAAACCTGGAAACTAGCCAGGAGTTATGAATTATTTCTAGGCTAGTTGCATCTTAAAAGGGTCACTATGCCCAGACTCTGTAAGACACAAGTTTGCTTATGTTTGCTCAAAGTGTATTCTGACTGCCTCGTTTTACTCCTTCCCCCCTCCCCCCCCATCAATAAAGGTGTTGAGTTACAGCTTGTTTTGCTGTGTTACTGAGGAGGGAGGAGGAGAGAGGCCTTCAGCCCCTGCGAGTTTGTCTTTTTATTTTTCCTCAATTCTATCTGATGCTATCTTGGGATGCTTTGGGCTGAAAGAACCACCCAGAAATATTACTGTGGGCAAAGCACCCCCCCAAGGTTCACAGGATCTGTGTGCCCCAGACTGCACCAGTACACATAAAACAACAGTACAGGCTCTGCAGAAAAGGACCTGGGGGTTACTGTAGACAATAAGCTGAATATGAGCCAGCAGTATGCCATTGTTGCAAAGAAGGCTAATGTCATACTGGGCTGCATTGGTAGAAAAGTTGCCAGCAGACTGAGGGAAGTAATTATTCCCCTGTATTTTGCATTGGTCCATATCTGGAGGACTATATCCCGTTTTGACCCTCCCCCCACCACTATAGAAAGGATGTGGATAAACTGGAGAGAGTCCAGCGGAGAGCAACAAAAATGGTTACAGGGCTGGGGTACATGACTTGGAGAAGCCGAGGGAACTGGGATGTTTTATTTAGTCTGTAAAAGAGAAGACTAAGGTGGGATTTGATAGCAGCCTTTAACTACCTGAAGGGTGGTTCCACAGAGGATAGAGCTAGACTGTTCTCAGTGGTGGCAGATAACAGAACAAGGAGCAATGGTCTTGATTTAGAGCAAGGGAAGTTTATGCTGGATATTAGGAAAAACCTTCTCACTAGCAGGGTGGCAAAGCACTGGAATGGCTTACCTAGAAAGGTGGTGGAATCTCCATCCTTGGAGGATTTTAAGGCACAGCTCAGCAAAGCCCTGGCTGGAGTGATTTTTTGGGGATAGTCCTGCTTTGAGCAGGGGGTTGGACTAGATGACCTCCTAAGGTCCCTTGCAACCATAATTTTCTATGATTCTATGGTTTTAAGTCCTATGCCATCTAACAGGACACCGTAAGCAGAGCCTACAACATGACATCCTTATATTGCCATGGGCGACATGAAGATGCAAGTAGAGAGAGACAGCCATGGACTAAGCAATGCCAACAGCACATATGAACTGGTTCAGATAATGGCATACGGAGAAATACTCTTGGAACTTTGCCAACAAAAACAATTTGTTTTATCAGGAACATTTCCTCTTCTTCAACAATAACAATCAAAGCAACATTACTGATCAACAGTTTAATCAGGTTAAAGAAATGACAGCAGAATAGGATTGGTTGGCAATGACTTACTTCCAGTTTATGAACCTGCCTATGTAAGAACTGAACTGAACCAGATTCTTTTCAAACAGAACTGTGGTAGAAAACTATCTTGAATACTAAAGGCAAAAGAAAATACAGGACACTACTTCATTCTATTACCCATGTCTCAGTCTCCCACTGGTATACCGAGCTCAATGTACGTTCTTTCTATCTGGGATTATTTCATTGGTAACATATTAATTTGAATCTCTTCTAAAAACTTCTTTGGATTGTATCCTCATGTGTTTTAGATTCTTTCTTGTTAATTAGATTAAACCAGATTTCCAATGACACTGTTACAGGGTCACCAGCCTGTAATCTGTCAAATTCCTCAGAAACTTCTTTTAATTACCTTTGTAAATTCAGTCTATAAATTCTTGTACAGAATGTGCTGTGATTCTATACCAACAGCAATAAAAAATTCTCAATTGCAAGATCAAAACCCAATGTTCTTCTCTCCTACTTCAACAGACCTAGTTTATTTCAATGGCACATTTGAATTTGATGAAACAGTTTACATTTTAAGGTGAGCATGATCCCTTAGTCTCACTGCCATAAAATAAGTTATCATGCTAAGATTTTACTTTAGAAACAGAATTTTTTTAACGTCACACAATCAATCTCTTTATTTATCATTTCCTTCAACAAAACGCACACAAATTTACACAGTCTCATAATCATTCAGTATATATTGGCATTGAACTGATCAGCAACATTTCATATTTACTAGTGCTTGAAGTCAACGCTGAAGACTACAGAGTAAGATAAACTATTCACATAATGTAAAACCACATCACGTATGTTGTCATCGTTCATAAGTTTCTCTCTTATAGCAGCCAAGCCTCTGCAAAAATGTAGCAAGTCCTTCCCTTTACAATAATGCCATCTACTCCCAAAACTTCTCTCCAGGTACCAGTGACTCCATCATCCTCCCTACTCCCATATCCAGCTTTCCATCAATTCTCTCAGACAATTAATTCTGTCATTTCCTTGTTTCCTAAGAAGCAAAGGCTTTTTTTTTTTTTTTTTTAAACAGATTACAGTAGTATTTAAGTTATTTTTCATCTTCTGATTCTGAGTCTGCTATATCAAAAACCATTCAAATATGATACACTCATTGAAATATTTCAGTTAGAAACCCCAAAACAAAAACCTAAAACACAAAACTAGAAAAATATAACCTGGAGAACAAGTGTTTCACAACCATGGCTACGGTTCCCATACCTGTGGCTGGTAGCTGAGCCTCAGAAACCTACACGGTTACATTGTGCTAACTAGCTTTGTTTTAATTTGCTGTGTCACACTGAAGGAAGCTAAATATACATTACTTTCTATTTAAGCAAATATAGTCACCACACGTTTATTATAGTATGATGAATTCCAGGACAATCTCTCCGAAAATCAGATTGTTACTACAAAAATAAAATAGAATAAAGAAATTAAAACATCCTGCATGGAAAGTGAGCTAGTATTTAGAATATTCATTTTTTAATATAATATAAAACAAAACGTAGGATATTGTTAGGGTTTATTCCAACTTACCATTGAAATGCATTGTAATGGAAGTAGACCAAACCAAGGCCATATAAAAAGGCAGCATTCTGTAAAGAAAAAACAGAAGTTTAAAACTCAGATACGAGCCCCATATGTTAGAGGAAAACACAAGGGCAAATTTTTGTGCATATTAATGTGTTTAATTGAAATGTAATTGCCAATATGAAATGCTCCGTTTAGCTTTCTAAAAACAGAATGCAAATGATTTAAAAAAACAAGATTCACTAGAAAATCTTCAATCTTTGTTTAAACTATGAGAGAATGTTAGTTATAGAGACCCTGAAATAAAAGACTAATAAATAATGATAATAATTTTTTAAAAAAATCTTAAGCCAGGGACCCTGAAGCAGTGTATTCTGCTTGTAAAAGAAGAGGAAAGAAGAAAGGCTAAAGGTTTTTCATTTAAAATGGAAAGAAAAAACATTTTATACCACTAGGCATAACTATACAATGTATATAAATGCAAACAGTTTAATTTCAGTATCTGAAGTACTAGAAAGGTGAGCATGAAATCATGCTTAAGGATATTCCATTTCACCTGAATACTAAGAGCATGTCTAAACTGCTCAGTTATGGTGTCAGGGAGCACCTTGCTCAGATATACCACACTTCCTTTACACGTGTTAGCTCTCAGAAGAAGAGTAGCCACTTCAGCGCAGCACTGTGTATAAATCAATACATTGCGCCTCTCTGCAAAGGTTGCTGGCATGCACAGCAGCATTCATGTGCTATACTGCTTCTGATCAGGAAACATGGAGCAGCCATGACACATTTCAGTATGGTCCTACCTGGTGACATGACTGAGCACTTGGAGACATATCCTAAGAGTTCAGATCATTACACTCAAACTTAAAACCACTGTCTCTCTTCATATCTGATGACTGAGTTCATTTTAGTAACTTTTCTGAAATTTACAAGGAATCTAATTCTATGTTTTGCAATCTAGTTACTGTCTACATAAGGGAGAAAAATCTCAGTGTACATATGTAATATTTTTGTAAGAATCATTCTTTTTTTAACTAAAAAATCCATGCTTAGAATGCAAGGTAATAGGATCACTATTTAAGCCTTTCTTAACAAGATTAACATATTAAGCAATTCTACAAATAATTTGCATATATTTTTTTAAAACATTCCAACAATTACAAACAAACTAATTTTTCTTTCAAGGAACATTATGCCACAACGTAAGTACTTGTTTATACAAGTTAAGACATATTTTGAGACTTCTCTTAAAGACACTTCTGTTTCCACACGTGTTGTGAAATCAAAACATTGTTTTCAGAAAAGATAAATTATCAGTACATCCTGATGATCATTATCAAACATGGCCTCCAATAGGCCAAGGAGGGATGAAAGTTTCAAAGCTGCTAACTTCTTCCATCAACATAATCCTGTTTCTAATTTCATCCCATTAAGTGCCAAGATGATGTCAGCTGCTGTGGTATCTATCACACAGTCATGACTAAAAATCTGTTTAAATTTTATAGGTCAAAAACATAAACAAGCTTCATTTTGAAAACAACTGATGCACAGAGCAATTCAAAGAACAGCCTTAGTCAAGGGTCAGCAACATCCAGCCTATGGAGCTGGGGGCTTTGTACATCATGCCACGGCTGCATAGTGGGGAGAAGCAGCAGTGGCAGCAGTAGGCTGGAAGCCTACCCACCTGGGACCTGAGCTGGGTTGATCTGGCCCATGGCTGCAAAATGTTGCTGACCACCGGTCTTAGTTATGTCTTTGATACAAACACTGTAAGAAGACCACTTAATCAGAACTTCAACTGCAAGTTCCAAATAGTTCCAGAGGCAATGAAATATTCCATATCAAAAGACATTTTCAAGGGGAGTGTATGAACACTGTTTCTACAATGGTTAGGTTCAGCAATGTGTAGAGAATTACTAGATACTATGGTGACTGGTGTGGTACAAGATCCCACAATGAGCCAAACATGTTCCATGGTGTTTCAGAAGCTAATGGAAAAATGGCTGCCTACACTGTATGTCAGCAACGAAGTGAAAACTACACAGCAACACCATGAAATGCACATCGTCTATGATTATGTAGAAGTGATGTGGTTCAGTAAATGATTATTGCATGCAAGATAGTAACTGAAAGCTACTACTTAAATTCTCCCTCAAAACATTTACTAATGGTACAAAAGTACTGATTGAGCTGTTTAAAGGACTTCTGGAACTGTGGTTGAAAAGGATGAACATAACAGAGATAAAATAACTTCAACTTTATTTTTTACTTACATACTTGTTTTCTAGCTATCTTTTAATAACTAGGTGCTAGGAATGAAGGAAAGTAAAAAAATGGAATGATAGATAGATAAACATAAATGTATGCCTTGCTAAGGCATTTATTAAAATCTAACCCAGAAAGGAAGGCAGAAATGATTTTTGGACCTGCAATAAAAGGAACTTTCAAAGTACAGAATTTCACTAACTGATTAACACTAATGGGATGCTGTTAATCAATACTAGTAGGTAGGGGGACAAGACAGAGAGAAGACAAACTTGGATGTCTAACCATGTTTAAGATGACAAAGTCTCTGAAATGGCTGGCTATGTATTTCTAGACAATACTGCCCTTGGTATCTCAATACTTCAGACATCAGAGAGAGAGCCCGAGCCACATTCTGCTTCAGCAAATTAGTAACGTTATACAGCAAACCTAACTTTCCAACTGTACAATAATTGTATTGTTCTGCCTTGCTTTTTTTCTTCTTAATATATGTGAAAGTTTTCTTTGGCTACTGATAGTAAGCAGTGCTGTTGGCAGACAGAATTCAACAAGACTGCTATGTGCTGGGAATATGGAAAATCATCTGTGATGATTTGGACCCTTCAAATCTTATTAAATGCAGGAGAAGACTTAGTAAGACCACATATCAGGAACAGAATATGTAAGTTCCTTTTGTTATAAAATTCATACTGTACTTCCTCATGTTCCTTAAAAGTAGATAAGATATCCTGGCAATAGCTTCAATTTTTTTTAGGAAGCACATGCATTGTATTAAAACCAGCTTTAATGCAGATATTCATTAAAACTTCATATTGACATGTTTCCGAGGCTAGCCAAACATAATAACAATGCAAAACAACAACTGTGAAACATTTAGGTAAACTGACCTATGCTGTGCAGTACAAGTTAGAAATTAATCAGTTTACTTCCTTTTTGAAAAACTAAGACTTTACATCCTTCACTGATTCATACTGTATGGTTCTCCAGATTCCTGACAATCATCCAACTTTAATCCGCTGATGTTTCTGATGCTTCAAGTAGTCTAGATCAGCAGTCAGCAACCTAAAGCCCCTAGAGCCATTTGATCCAGCCTGCAGACTTGGGGCTTTGGCAGTGGGTGCTGCTCCCCTTATGCTGCAATGAGGGCAAAAGGTGCGGGTGGCAACTAGGTCCTAGATTTGCTTGCAAACTGGATTATTCTGGCCAAAACTGGAGACGGTTGCTGACCACTGATCTCAATAACCAGATTGAGCTTAATTTCTCAACCACCAAAAATTGACAGCAATCTAAATTGTTTGGTTGCTTAAAGCTCAGGAAACACAAAAGCCCATAAATGTCATTAATTATCTCTCATCTTGACTTAATAATTTATTAGGAAGTTATGCTTTTATTTCTTCCAGAGACTAACGACTCTCTAAGACAGGGTGTGTGAGCTCCTAAAACCAAGTAAGAAGTAGCAGGTGCCAGTTTGAAAGCTAGAAAATAAATGATTTCTTAATTCCTCCACTGGAAGCTACTAATTCAGGATAGCCACACAAGCTATTCAAATGAGTAACAGCTGTTGTTACGAACATTCTGGCAGCACAAGACAAGGTTCTCTTATATAATAAGACCTTACAACTTAGCAGATCCTGACATGCATCTTTTGTAAAGACCCTGACAAAACTTATCTCAAAGTAATACTAGTATTTTCTGATCAACAGAGGAGAAAAACAAACGATTCCATGACTTGCCCAACTGTAATTAAGACTTTAAATTTGGTTGTAAAGCAAGAAAATATGGTTGTTTGAATTTTCAAGCTGCAATCTTGGTCTCTAGGTGCATTAAAAATGAATTACTCTTGCTGTTTTGATCTTCTAAAGTACTCCTTTATATGCGGTTGTTTTTTAGGCTATGGTGGAACAGCTTTCCTTTATATTTTCTGGTTTAGGTATGTCTGACTTATTTTACTTCGTATTTAGTTGTGTGTTTGGTTGTAACATCCATTAAGGTATGCTGTCACTTCCATTCTAAAGCAGAGTAACAGTTGTACTATATAATATTTTATTCCAAAACACATGATGATTCAGATTATTATGGACCACGTCTACCCACTAGCTCCAAGTGTAAAGGACACCATTGGTGCTCACAACATTTTTTCACAGTAACATATTTGTGACAAAGACACCTTCCAGGCCTGTTACTACTATGGCCCCACCCTCGTCTCTGGGCAAACCACACACCTTGCTCGCCTGCCATGCCTCGTTGAAAAATGGTTATGATGTCAAATAGATGGGAGGGTGCCCTTTGTGCACCCAAATGACCGTGGGGCATTTCCTACCACCCCTACATGTGTCCCATGCCTCACTGATGTCTCACAGTATGTTTCATCTCCGGTTCTAAGCCAGATAAAACTGGACACATACTTGTGTCTCTCCCACACTCCCTTCTCAGGCCACACACACACCACCCACCTCTCACCAGGACCTCTTGTACTCCACCAGCTCTCACCTGGTCCCTTGCATACCGCCTATCGAGGCCACACTCACTCCGCCCTACTCAAGGGGATTCTCAGGCTTTTCTCTTCACCCCTCAGTCAACCCTGGCAAGGTCTTTTGGGCCTCTCTTGTGACCCTCACCTGAACGGGACTGAGCGATTGCTCAACTATGGGCCTACTTTGCCCTTGGCCCCTCACTGGACCACTCCGCCCCTCTCTCAGGCCAGAACTCTGCCCCTAACACTAGGGCCTGGGGTCTTCCACCCCTTAGGACTCAACCGCTCCTCCCTGAGCTTAACTGGCCCACAACTCTGCACTGC